TTATTTAGTCATGTCGCTGGACGCATGGGTAAATATATTTTTACACAAATATAAACTTTTAAAACAATATTTCTCTGGCGAAATAGCATAATGAGAGGAATTCGTTTCCTCCCTGTATTGGATACTGGAAATAAAATTGTTAATATAAATTATGCATATATATATATGTATATGTACTGAATATTCTGATCATCAAATCTTTTATAATAGTCCTCTGTCTGTCTATTTTTACTGGATCTATCAAAGTGTTACGATCAAAAATGGCTATTATTTATCATATTATTATCCTTACTTTCATATTTATTGGAAGCTTAAAATCAGGTTAATTAATTATTAATAGAAAATTTTTTTTTTTTTGTTGATCAAAATGGGTTACAATACTTGTTAGTGTAAAATTTTTCTAATGAATATGAAAGAAAATTTGTTGAAATTGGAGCAGTTTGTTAATCGTATTTCTTCGGCTTGTACCCTCATTTCACTGAACTCTTGATGATTAATTTAGATTGTGTAGAGGGAACATCAAGAGGATGTTATCAAAATGAAATATGCTACCGGAATCAATGTTATCCAGCTTATGGACGTATGTTTATGGTATTTTGCAAAAAAAAAAAAAAAAAACCAAATTACAAGTAAAAAAAAAATCATCAAATAAATAAATAATTGGATTTAGCATAGAAATATATTTGATTAATTTATAATTTAAAATAAATGTTAGGAGGCAAATGAGAGTAGCTGTGGATGAGAAAATTTTCAATAGCAAAAAGTAGGGGCCAAATTTTACATGTATGTTTGATCACTGTTTTTATTAGCAAGATATTTTAATATTTCAAAAATTTTCAAATAGATTAAATTTTACAAAATCTTTTGAATCTTTCAGCCTGTTTTAATGGAGTATGTCAGCAAAATTTAATATGCATATTTGACAGCTGTCTGAACTTACTGATAACTACCACTACGCAGAGTATGTTTTGTTTAAATTGCAATTTTTTTGTGCTAAATTTCATTAAATTACTATATTTATCACAAATATATTCTTGATTACAAAAATAATTTTTTAACAACATAAATGCGAATATCAATAAAATAATGATAATGTAGCTGATAGGAGGAAAATAATCATGATCTTAATATGTTAATTCACTTATATTGATGAAATATTTTAGTGAAAAAAGAAAAAAGAATTAGAGATGAAATATTAAACAAATAAATTAAATTCATAGATAATTTCTTTAGTGATTGAATTAAACGAGTAGTAACAAAAAAAATAAAAAAAATAAAACTGAAATTTGTAAACTAAACGGTGGAAGCTGATTAACAAATGGATATAGAAATGCAATATGAATCATTTGGAAAAATTATAATTAAGATATTTGCATCAATGTAAATAAGTGTTGTTAATGAATTATGAATTTAAATTTGAAGCGAATAAAGTAATTAAAAATTGCATGAAGTACAATGAGTTTTGGAAGTAAATATTATGCTACTATAATGAATGATGTCTTTTTTCCCAATAATATCTTTAATTTTGATGATAAATTTTTAACATATTTCAAAATTTTATCTAATATTAGAAGAAAAAATTTTTTAGAAATAACGACAAAATCAATATGTATGGATTACAATATACCAGGCCGTTTAAGTGAATGCCCAAAGCGAGCATATCTTTGTAACAATCCAATCTATTATAATTTAATGACAAAATTATGTCAACGTACATGTAATCGTTGTTCCGGTGATAGTTCGACAATGATGCCATCAGGTAAAGTTTTATTTTTAAAAATATTTTAAAAAAGATCAAAATTGATTTATTATGATGATCAAATAACAAATTCAATCAATCTTAAATAATTATTTACATTCAAAGTGAAAAATCATTGAAAAATGACTTTTTTTTTGTTTAAAATACACAAAAAAAAATAAACATTACAGTTTGATTATTTTGATTATTTTTAACATACACAAAAAAATAAACATTACAGTTTGATAAAAAGGTAGAGCATTGCAATCACAAATATGAAATTTAGAAAATGATCAAAATTGATTTATCATAATGATCAAATAACAAATTCCATCAATCTTTAAAATAATTATTTACATTTAAAGTGAAAAATCATTGAAAAATGCAAGAAAATTGTCATTTTGAAAAAATATTTCTATCAATGCTATCATTTTTCACTTTAGTAAATAATATTTCCCTATCATTTATAGGTTGTTTTGATCAAATTGGACCAAATGGTCGGTCCAATTGCTTATCTGTCGCGCATTTATGCCATAATCTCTTATATATTAATGTTATGAAGCAACAATGTGCACGAACATGTAGATTTTGCTAAAATAACAACAATATCAACAATATTGCAAAAAGAAAAACAACACATGGATGAATATAACTTATCGGAATGATATACAAAATCGGAAAAAATCATTATCAATTCTCATTTATTATGATATTTTTTTTTATTAAATTATATGATACAATGATGAAACCAAGGAAAATACTTTTAGATTTGAAGTAAACTTTATGGAGAAAAATATATTAAAATATGAATAATGGTTAATAATAAAAATGAAAATTTGGAAAACAATGCTATTGCAAACAAATCATTTTATTTTGCCGAAAGAATAGGATCGAAATTTGTCACAGTTATTGCAAAACATAACTTAAAATAAAATTAAATTAACAAAATGAGTCAAAATATTTGACAAATTAAACAAATCATAAAATATGCAGAAGACATTGGATATTATCTTAAAAATTTTTCAATAATTATTTATCAAATAAAATTAAAAGTGAAAAAGCAGCATAAAATATTGAAATTACTCCTAATGAATTATGAAATTTTTAGCAACATTTAAATCTTTCAAATTTAAACTGTTTGAAAAACAACAAAATCAAATAATGGTTGATTTAAATCGTAATAAATGGGTATTGCATGAAATAAAAATATCAAATTTTATTTAAGAAATAACTAATAAGCAAATACAAAAGTTTACTTACGACAGGCTAAAAAACAAGCTAAATCAAATTAAACCAAAGGTAATTTAAGAAAAAAAAAATTTATCATTGCATTCTTTTATTTTTTCCAATTCTAATTTTTGCTTTTTCTTTCTCCAAATTTCTAACAAATTTCAATTTATAGCAATAAAAAGAAGCATAAATAACCAAACGTTACGAAATGATAAAAGTTTCATTACTGTAAAAACAAAAAAAAAAATTTTTTAGTAAAGAGGCAAGTCATCGTCAAACTGTAAAATGTAATGAATGATGAGAGGTTTCCATTGATAATGTTAATGAGCGATTATGTCTAGCACTTGAAATTAAAACTTTTTTTATTTGAAATTGAAATTGCCCTTTTGGAACTGAGACTGAATGTAAAAATAAGATACGATTGATATGTTCAATTCGGAAAGTTTTCATTCTAACTAGTTCTAATGGTTGCAAAAATTAAGCCTAGCAAAGTGAAATTTAAAATTATTTAATAGTTTTTAAATTTGAAATTAAGGAAGCATTTTTTCAAATTGCAAAAATGCTTGAAAACATTTTTCATATATGCTTGAAATCGTTCTTTGCTGATAATTTCAAAGTATCGACGGTTTTGCAGTACGTGGAACTGCGGAATACAAACATCAACGTGAAACCAAAAGAATGCCACATCAAACCATACAAACAAATAATCAAATAACAAATAATCAAATAAATTTCTTATTGTAAAACAAATGTTCCTAATATCATGACTCATTTAATTAATTCTGCATTCCTTTAAATTATTTCTCATGAAATTCTTGTGTTATCTAAATCCACATCATCGTATTCACACATTTTGGTACGNNATTGTCTTTGTTAGCAACTGCTCGAAATAGCTATCTTAATTCACATCTTTGTTCGGACACGTATCTTTATCCATATGCTAATTTCCATTGTCACAATGCTTATGCAATTGAATCTTAGCTATTTCTGGTCTATGCAAATGCATCTGCTTAATTG